AGGGGTTGGAAGTAATGGGCCCGGGTTGCGCTCAGTCTTCAGGTAGGGGTTCCTTTGTATTGGGCCTGCTTGAGGACCTGTAAACCTTCCCAGTTTCTTGAGCCGATCCAGCCTTTCTTCTTGTAATTTGGTTAAACCAACAGCCGCAACCAGCGTAGCGGGTTGCATGGTATTTACTTCAATTCTGATATCATCCCTCAATCCCCCTATGAAACAACCCACCAGAGCAGCCTCCGGCCAGCCATGAACTCTCGTGGTCAACCGCTCGAACTCGTTTTGGTATTCTCTTACCATACCCATTTGTCTCACTCTAGAAGGGACTTATTGAAGTTCTCATAGCCAGAGGGTCCGAACCTCACACGTAGAGCCTCAGTGAGGTCCAACCAGGTGGTTTGAGGATGGGTCTTCCAGTACCATTGGTACCACATAATTGCTTTGCCATCCATGTGAATGGCTGCAATGGGAACTCTTTGCTCGGCAGGGGTCTCATGAAATTGAAAATACCTCACAGCCCGGTTTATCCAAGGAACAGGGTCATCACCTGAATACAGTGGGAAGTCGATCTTGGCGGCCTTGACAGGGAAGACTCCACCTCGCCGGCTCCCACTGCTACTACTGGATCCCTCGACCTCTGAAGCTCTGGGTGCTGCTGACAGCCGTTCGAACTGACCAACCAATCCTGAGAGTGTTTCCTTGATGTCTCTCAACTCGTTGGTGGTCTGCCGCACTTACCCTTCGATCCGGTCAATCCTTTCCTTAGCCGCAGGTGATCTGGTCGTCAGCATGGGAGCTAGGCTCTGATACCAACTGATAGAGTTGCTGATCGTGTTACAGCAGAAGAGTTGGTTCGAGGGAGCTCACCCTCCTGAAATGGACGAGAGAGAGAGAGGAGGAGAAGAAGAAGAGAGACGAGAGACTAAGGATTATTTCATTCATGCCCACTCAATTGATTGCTACAGATATTTATAACTGCAGATCGTGGCTTGTAATGACCCAATCATGACCTGTAACAACCTAACAAACTCTGCTCAAATCTCTGGACGTGGACAGCGCGTGTAAACAAACCTCAAAGGAGGTGCTGCGCACCTGAGTCATGGGGTGTGCTGATTTGGGCCCGAAGTGTCCTGGGCCTGATTCTGGGCTGGTCCTAACAGTATAAGCCCCTAAAGCCAGGTTCGATCAACCAACAGTGGCTCCCACTGACTTTCATATAGTCAAATTTGCAAGTGGGTTCATGTGGGCTAGGGGATCCCTCTTGGGAGAGGAATCTAAATGGACCCCACAAAGGGAGATCATGCAATGATCTAAAACTATGCACGAGGATGATTTGCATCCACCTATGAACCGCTTAGAGAGACATTCAAGTATAATATGGGCCAAGCACTTATGGCCCATATGGCAATTTCACAAACCACACAAGTTGGAATGACATTCACATTAAACCACGAAAGACGAGAAAATGGCTTTGGAAGTCCAACCCATTAAAGCTAACACACTACCAATCCATTAACATGTATGTTTTAGCATTTAAAACCTTTCTTAAACATGGGCTCAACTAACATCAAATAATTGGGTTTCCATGCATGGCTGAATTGGCCAATGCTTTACCACATCAAACCCTCAAGTGAGAAACATCACCAAAAATAGTGATGCTGGGCTGTTGACATTTCAGCCCAAGAACCCTAGAAACGGCCAAACAATTAGACTAGTTCTAGGTGCCATAACCTAGGGTTTGTTGTGTTAAAACTCCAAACAATCAAAACTGTTATGGTCTGAAATCTACAGCAGTAAGTAAGCACACAACTCACATCAAATATGAAACACAATGGCTGAAAGTGAGGTGGCCAAAAATGTGTGATTGGTTCACATCACAAACTGGTTTGCCCAAAAATGCAAGAAACAAACTAAACTGATTTCTAGAACTTGTAACTTATCTAATTAATTTTCAGGTCTGATAAAGCTGGTTTAAATCTCAGATATTCAAACCATAATGCTCTGATACCACTGAAGAAATGCCACCATCGAATGGTGGAAAGGTCAGAAATTCCCAGTTTAAAAGTTTGAACATGCTGATATTGAAATTCATCTTAACAATTCATTATTCTAAAGCGGGAATAACCTCAAAAAGTTAGGACCAACCTCTGTAATTTCTACCAAGTTTTCTCAGACCCAAAACTAAGAGAAATAAATTATCGTACCTGATTGTTGACAGGCTACAAGTGCAGCTTGTCCAAGTGATAGTTCACGCCTAACCTCTCTTGTAATCTCTCATCGGTTTGATCTAGTTGATAAAGATGGCGCGCCAGATAAAATTGATCTCCAACCTTTGCAATTTGCAGCAACTATTGCCTCTGTTACAAGCCTCAGATAATGGTCTAATGATATTGTAAATTCCACAATGTTAACAACTTGAACACACACTTAAGTTGGAGGGAGTAAAAGGCTAGATCAAACTAGAGCATCTTTCTCTTTTTCTGAATTCTTTCTCAAAACTCTACATAGTGGTTTCTCTTTGACTCTCAGGGTTAGATGACCCAAGAGGTTTTAAACCTCTTAGAGTCGAACAATCCTTCCCTAATTTGTTTCCCAAGAGAATTAGGAAACATCCAATACAATTGGGCTTTCCCATTCAACTTGGACCTTGACTGGTCAAACTAGTCAATTCCTAATTCAATTAGAAACCATTTTAATTAAGAGTGTGACCAGTTTTGGCAATCTATTTAAACAAGGATTGAAACAAGTAAGAGAGGGAAGTTAATATGGCATAGGACCCACAAGATCCTAGCCCAAATTAATTAAATATTTCGGCCCACACTCCAACTAAGAGTAGGACCCACACCTAAGCCAAATTCAGCTTGTCTAATAAGTGAATTCACCCTAGCACAATGGGCCTATGAACCGAGCCCATTTAATGTCTCAATTCACTTGGGTCTCACCTCCTCCTTAGCTTCAAAATGTAATGTCACACTCTGCTCAAAATGGATCCCAATATTAAAACTGTTTTCAAACACTATCAAAATAAAATATTGTTTAGTATAATAAATTTTGCAAAATGATTTCAAGAACAGTTGAAATCCACTACGGTAGTTTTAGGTTTTCATCAAAGAGTGTAAACCGGGATATTCTCTTTGTCTAATGAAGTAGTTGATCCTATTACAATGATCATTCACTCAAGTACCTTCCCAATCTGTTCCAACACACCTAGGTATTTGACCCCAGAAGGATCTCACTGGTTGGCATATCAAAAGCAAGCTGATCTGATACTTAGTACAGTATCATGATCAAGTCAGGAGATCAAATGCAACTTTCTAGGTTAATCTATCAATCTCCAAGGTCTAGGATTAAATTGGGAATGATCCTGTTTAGTGTTTCCCAAACACCCACTCGTACCTTAGGTCCAATCCGAGAAATTGAAACAGACTGCTCCTCCAGTTCGGTAGTACAAGAGTCTCATCCTTGACATGATTAACTCCCTAAGTTTATCAATCAGGTGAGAACATTCGAGCTTACATAAGTCTAAAAAATTTACACCTTAGGAGTATTCACAGAAACACACTGAGATACAAATGAAATAATAAAGAAATTGAGTTTAGTCATTAATAAATGTCAGTATTCAATGGTCTTTTGGAGCTGAGGGCATATACTGTCTAACACTTTATACAGAAGGCTTAGACATGCTTTAGTATTTAAGCTATTATTTTATTATAAAATGCTATAGAAAAAAGTGGTGTAACCAATTTATTATGTTGCCCATTATATATTAACATAATCTAGAGGTTGAAAACCCTCCAAATTTGTTTATTATAGTATTGTCAAAAGCCATTGTACAGATTTGGTGGCTTGTGGGGTCAAAAGCTTCACCCCTGCAGCCCCCCTAAGTGGGGGCTCTTCCCCCACACTCCCATTGAGGGGCACATGCCCCTTGGACCCCAAAAAATTAATCATAAAGCACTATATATGAACCCAACTACATAAGACCATAACAAAAACATCCACACAAAACTTAAGCCTCCTTGTGCTAAAGAGTCTTTTGCCTCTTGCACAAGTATGCATAGTGATTTAAAAGGCGTGCCTAGGGGCACAAGCGAGGCGCATTTTAGGGTAGGCACCTCGCCCAGGTCCTAGGCGCAACACTTTCAAAAGGCATACACCTAGTGCGCCTAGGTGTGCGCCTGATGTCCCTTGGCCCAAGCATCCACCTTTTGAAAATTGTATGCTTTTTTGCTTTTTTTAACCTAGCGGTTGGGCTAGGGGCTTTGCCCCCGGATCCCTGACCAAACTCCCCGAGGCAAGCCCAAACAAGTCTGAGAACCCCTTATTTGCTAATATTGTACATTCATTCATCTTAATAAAATATCTTCTTAAAAGGCAAATAAAATTATAAATCTTTATTTTTGTGGAAGAATTAAGAATTTAAGACCCTAACATGGACTTGTTTGGGCTTGCCTCGAGGGGCGTGGCACAATGACAATTCGTAGAATTAGGAATGTAATATGTTTTACATCACATTAGCTACTTGAAGTAATGCAATTGAAGAAAAAAAAAGAGATTGCGGGCTTTACATGCTTGAAACTGTTTTATATGCTTGATTTTATTTTTAAATTTTCATTTGAATGTGCTTTTCATGTTATGTTTATGTATTTTAATTTTAGATAATAATTTTCTTAAAACCATTAATTTTAAAAAATAAGTATATATTTCTAATTAATATTTTTGCATTTTTTTGAATTTTCTGACATTTTTTGTATTTTTGTGCCTTGCTTTAAAAAGGCACGCGCCTCGCCTTGTGCCTCTCGCCTCAGGCGCAAATTGGCCCTTGTGCCTTTTTTGCGCTTTGCGCTTTTAAAAGTAGTGGAATGCCTCGTGTTGTGCCTCCATATTTTAAAATATTCATCCCAACTATATAGGGTCAGCTACATATCAGGCCTTTTAAGTTTCTCCAGATAACTTTATGGTTTTCTACGACATGAGTTTGTGTTCACAATGTAATCTTGCTGCAGCTTTGCAGAGACACTATGCAGTTTTAGAGGCCTTAGCCCTTGATGAGGATGAGATGCCAGATATTAAAGATGAAACTCTTCCAGATGAAGAAGGCATGGCTAGGTAATCTCAATGGGCATGCAGGGTTTTGCCCTCCTTATTTTGCACTAGGAATCTACTGTAACATTTTTTATGTTCTTTTCCTTCATTTCCGAGTTCACATCTGTGCCCCACCCCACAAGGGGTGCCTCACAACATCCCACAGCACATCTCTGCCGTGTATTGGGAACATCTCCCGATGATGACATCATCATTTCTGGTACCATCATTGGGAGATGTTGCCAATACATGGCGGGGATGTTCTGTGGGATGTTGTGGGGCACCCCCTTGTAGGGTGCAGATCTGAACTCTTCATTCCCACCCCTAAATGCTTATATTTATGCTAATGTTGTAGTGATGCATGCATGTCTAATGCAGACCTAAAATTGTCAATGCACTGGAAGAATTCAAGGTTTCTGTCTATGGTGAGAATTATGATGAAGACTATATGGAGATATCGGTAAGTGAGGCCTCTAAAAAGAGAAAAGATATTGTTGAAAATGCAGTGAAGGAATGTGCAAATTACAACTGGGCTGACCTTGCAGACAACGGAAAGGTAAAATGAAGGAACTAGTGTTCTTTCCATTCTAATTTGGTTGGAAAATAACGAATCCAAGATAATGCTTATTCTTTTTCCTTTTTTTTTTTACATTCTTAATTTTCTGTATGCAGTTGAAGGATTTGACAGTTGTGGAACTTAAGTACTATCTCACAGCACACAACCTCCCCGTTACTGGGAAGAAGGAAGCTTTGATCAACAGAATATTAACTCACCTGGGGAAATAAGTCTTCTACTTGATCTTGACATCTTGTCATTGCGGAACGAAAAATTTAAGCCTGTGAACTCAATAGAAACCTTGTTTCCAAGAAGGAAGAGACGATATATTTTACTTTGTAAATGGGTTTAGGCCTTCAGGCCCTTAGAACCATCAACAGAGGATGTTGTTAAACATGAAAGGTAATCATAGTTAAGGGATAAGGGGTCGAGAGAGAGAGAGAGAGAGAGAGAGAGAGAGAGACAAGGAGTTCTGATTCTCTATAACTGTTGTACCACCCTTTGATGACCAGTAAGCTGATCTAGTATGAAATCTTTGAGTTCCATTTTTCATGTTAATAGAATTCTTTACTGGATACATGGCTCGTCATTTCAATGTCCTAATTCTGATAGGGCATAATATTTCGATGTTGTAATTCATCAATGCATGGCATGAGTCAAATACAAATTAGGGTTCAAAATATTAGTATCATGTATCGTATTGATGACCATGGACATAGTAAAAGAATATGGATGTGTTTGGATACCTTAGAATTCCCACCAATGAATATAATATAAAAATAAAAAATGTATACATTAATGATTAATAATTTAATATGAAGAAATACATTACGATCATACAATGAGTTAGAACATCTAAACATCATACAATAACTTGCTAATAATACATCAACCAATATATCACATAACTAACCTAAGATAATTTTGATGAAATGAAACTGCGAAGATCTGTAAATCAAAGAGTTCAAGACAAATGAAAAGCAGCTAGTATATTTTAATTATTTAACTATCTTATATGTGAGTGCCGCTTAGACTTAGGTTAAAAAGGAATACATAAAATAGTTGTAAGGCCAACGATGCTATATGATTAGTGTGTTGGGGAAGATATACAATATGTCCAAAATATGAATGTGGGTAGGAATGTCTATGGCTCTATGTTGAGATAGATCTATAGAGGGTTGAGATTTGGCAATGTAGAGCAAGGTTCAAAGTATTGGAAATGCAAGGTGTCCTGGAAAGGTAATCTTAAGAGATATATTAAGATACGCTTTGGAAATGCATAGATACAGATGAAAAATCAAGATACACATGGATACATTAGAAAATCTAAAAAATCTTTAAAAAAACATGAACAACAACAAAAATGAATTTTATGTGATTATAACTAATTTATTTAAACATAAAAGCCATTTTTTAATGATTTATGTAAAATATTGGGATATAATTACTAACCGTTGAAAACTAATTGAACAACTAAAATGTATGTGTGTGTATATATACTAATATTTATTAGCTAATATTTTTGAAGTCATTTATGAATTAATATTTATTATATAGATTTAGATAATTTCTATTATGTATACAAGTTAACATATACCTTAATTTTTAATAAATAAATATAAYTTGTATTCATCTTATTATTATATAAATATTAATAATCAAATTTTAGCATTTGTTGGGAAACATCCACCAATGCAAGAAAGATTACTTTAACTATAAAAAAAAACATGTTTTAATAAGAAATTAAGGTTGGCATAATGGCTAATTAATTATTATTGTAAGCATATGACTTCGGTTTGAAACTTGTTACCTTCGGTTTGTGATTTGTAACAAGTTATTTGACTTAAATAACATTTAATGACATATCAAATGTGGTAATTAAAGGTAACTCAAATGAGCATTTAATTAACTAATATTAACATTTAATGATGTCTCAAACTTAAAGGCTTAACTAAATTTGATATTAATGAGAGAGAAAGAGAAGAGATGAAATAAATTTAAATTTATAAAGGAGAGGGAAATTAAATTCGACTGATACGGATGTGTATCGGTCCAATATGGATGAAAAAATACGAAATCATCTAATTATACATGTTTCATGTATAGAACTCTTCCAAAACGATACGTATCGGCTGATAAGGGTGGATAGGTTGCAAAATTTAAAACCTTGATTCAGAGGTTGTGCAATTGGTACCTCAAATTGAGTAATCATACAAGGCAATTGATAGCAACAAAAGCACTGAACAGTGGAACCGTGGCAGTGCCAACCTTTTGGTTTTGTAACCCTCTAAAGGTGGTGACTTTGAACCTCTGCTCTAGTAGAAAGGTAGAATGGTTTTGCGTCTTTATGGCTCGAAACAAGCTCAACAAGAAATCAAGACTTGTCCAAAGAAAAATTTTCATTTAATCAAACTTCTCAATTACAGTGGTTAGAGCAGTTTATATAGGTGTAGCAACTAAAATAGATTTATCTTTGGCACCAAAGGCCATAACACAAAATGGGCTAAACAACAAAGATAAAACTCTATACAGAAAATTAAAGATGAAAATAGGAATTTGCAATGACAAAGGGTCAATGGGCTATTGGGCACTGATTGGCTGTGGGTTTACAACTCATGAGGCAGACGAAGGAACCTCATGGCTTAACGACACAACATGGTTTCATGGCCCAAAATGTTGTATCTTGAAGTTGAGACCTTGTGGCCTCACGTAACGGCAACATTGTGGCCTTAAGGTGTTGGGACCTCAATGTCCCTGCCTCGTCTTCCTTTTGTCTTGCTGAGCTAAGACTTGTTCTCCTAGGTATCGTGGTCTGAGACCTTGTTGGCTCTTCTTCCTCCCTGTGTTGAGGAGAGTTCGACCTTGAGCTTGAGACTTCATAGGCCTTATTCTTCCCATGATACAGATATGAAGGTTCAACATTGAAGGACTTGACCTCTTGGAAGCCGACAAAGCCTTTACAACGAACAAGACTTCATTGTTTGTTGCAAGCATTGAACCAATTGTACTACATGAGTGCTAATAAGACCAAATGAATAAGACTTTTGGGTTCCTGCAAGACCTTGTAGTTGGGTTTAACAGAGGTGCCAACAAGACTTTAATGGTGTTCAATGACTTTGAACACCTACCTACTTATAAATATTTCTTTTCTAGCACAGTATCAGGTTTACAGTAAGAGAAGCCTCTAAACAGGCAACATAACATTACAAAGCTTAAGCAATTCAGTTGTTAGAGTTTTTTCAAAAGATGCTTAGCTCAACCAAGAGACTCCTAACCAAGGATTTAAATATCGACACGACACGCCCAATATGGGGCGTATCGTATCAGTATATCGGCCTATGGCGGTATGGGATACGTTACGAATAGAAGCGTATCCCGTGAATCTTATGTATCATAGCGATACAAATCCGTATTGGCCTGTATAGCATATAAAAAAGTACAAGCATGGCAATTCAAACTCGGATCACCAGAGCATGCCCAGAGCCTTGAGTGCAATTCTAAACTACTAATCCACGTTTATACTTGTGATTATAAATAAAATTTATTAACTTCTGTCTCTATATGCAATTTTTTTCAATCTCTATTACCAAAAAAAAAAACTCTAATTAAAATTTCAAAATGAATACAAAAAAACTAAAATTTCAAAAGAATAATATTCAAAAACAGTATTTTATAAACTAATACAATAAATAATCTATCAAATCCATGTTTATATAAAAAGATGAGTTTTAATATTAAGAAAATTATAAAAATAAAATATTAAGAATAGAATAATTATTTTAATACTTAAAATTTATAAATTTACAAATGATATGCATATTAAAATTATTATATATTTTTACAAATTATTAATTAATATTTTATTTTATATTAATAATTAATAACAACATATTTATTATTTATAAAAAATAAAAATATTGTTTATAAAATATTTAAGAATATAACATTAAAGTGAATTTATCAAATCCATTAATCTACATTTATTTCAAAAAAATTACTTTTCATGTTAGAAAAATTATATAAATAAAATATTAATAAAGGAATAATTATTTTAGTAATTAAAAATTATGATTTTTTATATGATATGTATATTATAAATTTTAACATATTTGATATACTTTAAGTTAAAATTAGATTTTTATAAATTATTAATTAATATTTTAATTTGTATTTGAGAATTTAATATTTAGTAGACTTTTTGTTAATGTTAAAGAATTAAAAAATTAAGATAAAAAAAATTTATATAATAATTAAAATATAATAAGTGCATATGTTTAGTGCCTTGGACTCTTGATTGAGGCATTATAAATAAAATTATATGATATCTATGCATCCTGATATATTCATTATAATATATTTATTCATATATATCATTAAAATATACATTTCCTATGTATTTATATACTATTTGTGATTATTTTGATCTTAAATTTAATGATATTATTGTATTTATGGAATTTGTATGTATTTTCCTAGCGTATCCATGCATTTTCATATTTTTCATTTGTATCTATGCATTTCTAAAGCGTATTTGTATCTGTATCTGTATCCGAGTTGTCCGATACGATACCCAATACTAATACTTTAATCCTTGTTCCTAACAGATGGGTGAGACTATACAAGCTTAAAAGCTTTTCAGCTTTGCTCACCTCCAACACTATTGAAGCTTAAGAATCTTTTCAATTAAACAACTCTAGATAACTTGTTCTCTCTAAAAAACTAAATACACTATGTACAAGGAATGCAAAAGTTGCTTTTCTCAGCCTTAATTCAATATCTTGCTTATTATTTTTGAATCAAGCTAAACTCCTTTATTTATAGAGAATTTAAGAGCAAGAGATCATTTTCTAGTCGTTGGAGGGATTTTTCCAATTCTGAAAATGATTAGGGGTGATCAAATTCAGTTATCAAACTGAACTCGGTTTTACAATTTTAGAAATTTCAGTTTTTTATTTTCGGTTCGATTTGTGAAAAAAGAAATCAACCGAACCAAACTGAAAACTGAATTAACCAAAATAAATACATGTATTTATATTTTAGTTATAAATATTCATATTAATATTAACATTATTATTTATATTATTAATAAGGGCAAATTTCTTAAACTACCATTATGGTTTAGTTAATTGAGTAACTATACCCTTACCATTTATATATTGTCTTAAAGTATCCCCCAAGTTTTCTGACAATTGTCTAAAACGTCCCTTGCCATTAACTTTTGGACACATATGACATCACGTGACATATATTTTTCAAAAAATCCTAAAATACCCATTTTACCTCTATTCCTAAAATACCCTTTTACCTTTGTTCCTAAAACCTCTGTTTCCATCTCCAGGTCTCCTCATCTCCATCTCTATAACAGCAGGTGGACACCCTAGATACAACCACCATGATTACAACACTAGACACCAGATAGAAGCACCCACATGGACACTAACGGGCTCTTGTGGTCTCCGCTGGTACCATTACTTGCAAGAGCCACTGCTAGATCCAACAATACCCAGCCGCAACATCGTTAAATGTTGTTGCATTCGAGTCAGAGCCTCGGGTAATTAGTTTTCGAAAACTCTGGTTTC